CCCCACTCTCCTATCCTTCTGTCCTTTTCTGGGAACTCCTGGGTCCAGGTCAGAAACATGCATCTTCTTAGATCTGAGGGGTCACGGTCTTGCCTTCCAGGTTCTCAGTTGTCCCAGTGGAGGCCCGGGATTGACCCCGACTCCCTTAGGGGTTTCCCTGTGCCCTGTGGCAGGTGATGCTGGGTGCCTGGTAGCTGTGGCAGCCTGTGATGAGGTGAGGGTTGCACTGGCTGGGCTGGGGTCGCAGTGGCGGTGTGGAGGCAGGGCCAATGTCACTAGGGAGGGTCAACTCTCCGGCTCATGCCTCCTTTCCCACCAAGCCTGCTGACCACGCCACCCTGTTCCAGACCCTCCACTTCCAGGCCCTTCCTCTCTCAAGAGGGGAAGCTGGGTAATAATGAAGGGATCTCACGAGCACCCCCACACGTGCTCCCCACTTCTGATGGATGAATCTGAGCAACTCGGGGTCCACCCCAGAGGAGAGTCTAGTCACAGGCCTCAGCTGGCAGAGGGGAGACAGAGGCTGGGAGCTGATCTGTCCAGGGACTTGCACCTGGGTTTAAGCCCCCCTCCCCTCACAAAGTCCCTGCCAGTACCAGCCCCCTTGCCTTACCAACCTCTCCTCTGCTCCTAGCAAGGGGGACACAGGACCTTGGTGGCTGTTCCCTGGCCTTGGACCACACAGAGATCGTCCCCTGCACCTGCTGAGCCTGAGGGTACACTTGCTCATGGAACGTGCCCCAAAGGGCTGCCAGTATGCCTTGGTGTCCTTCTCGGGGAAGGATCCGTGCTTTCACTGGACTCTGCCAGGCGTCCTTAACTGCATCCAGGGTTGGAACAGGCAGTGTCCAGTGCGGTGGCTGGGAGCAGGCCATGATGCAGCCAGTGGGTCGGGGGCCACTGGAGGGGCATGGTCTGGCCAGCAGCAGCCACCTCTCGGCTGCTGGTCAGTGCTAGGTGGGAACTAGGCTAGGGGTACAGGACCTTCCCATTTGTGTGTGTGAGTGTGTGTGTGTGTACATATTAACATGAAGTCTCCTGGTTTTCTTTTTGTTTTTTTTAGACAGGGTCTTGCTCTGTCACCCAGGCTGGAGTGCAGTGGCACAATCTCAGCTCACTGGAACCTCTGCCTCCCAGACTCGAGTGATCCTCCCACCTCAGCCTCCTGAGTATCTGGGACTACAGGCACTCATCACCATGCCTGGCTAATTTTTAAATACATTTTTTGTAGAGATGGGGGCTTCGCTATATTGCCCAGGCCGGTCTTGAACCCCTGGGCTCAAGTAATCCTCCTGCCCCAGCCTCCAGAAATGCTGGGATTACAGGCATGAGCCACTGCACTCAGCCCAAGTCTCCCAGTTTTCAATGGCGGAAACTTCTTTAAAAGCCAGGTGGGTCTGAGAGAGACTGTGGCCAGCCAAGGCTGGGGGTGGTGTGGATGCTTGGGGAAAAAGCCACAGAAGCGAATCCCAAGGCCTTTGCCAAGCGGTCCAGGATGGGAACACCCAGGAGTGAGAACCCGATTCCACAAGCATGGGGCTTGTCCTGGAGCTAAGAGGATGTGGGGACTGAGGCCTCTGGGGCAGCGACAGGCAAATGAGATGCTCCCTCGAAAAGAGAAGAGCCGTGGTCAGGGGTAGGTGGGTCCCTGGGGGATGGAAAGGTTTACCCTCAGCCAAGACAGCAGGAGGCAGAGGGCCTGTTCCTATGACAACGGTGACCTTGGTAAGCAGGGCGAGGACTGGAGGAGCGTGCAGGTGGGGAGGGAAGCCCTCTGCCTCACTGGCTGTCCTGACCCTGTCCTTCCTCCTTAACCATCCACCAATTCTGGCAGGGGCACAGGGCCCCGGAGACGATGAGGCCAGTGCCTGGCTCTAGGGATGGGGCAGTGCAGAGGCAGCTCCAGTCTCTGTGTCCCCAAGTCCACCAGACAGTCCCCACCCCTGTCAGGTGAGGGGAGGGTGCCCTCACAGGTCGCCGGTTGCCCACGTCCCGAGCTGTTTTAGGTCCTGAGACGCCCCTAGGCGGGGCCAGAGCTGCCCTGGGCATCACAGCAGCATCTTGCTGTCCTCACTGCCCCCAGCCACTCTCCAGGCTGAAGCGCTGGCCTGTGTCCCCTTGGGCCCTGGCATGGCACCGCCACTGCCTGGCCTGTGGGTAGAGGCCTCATTGCCCTTGACTCCTGCCAGCTCACCCCACAGTGACAGCATGCCCGTCTGCAGGATTCACCTCAAAGGCTACCAGCCTGTCCTCTTGGCCCTCCTCGGTGCAGCCTCCCCTTGGCCAGCTGGCCCCAGGCTGCCCCTCAGGTGGGACCCTGGGCTCCTTACCTGCCATGCGCAGTTGTCAGGAGCTTCAGGCAGGTCAGGTCCCCACTGACGGCGGCGTGGTGCAGCGGCAGGGCCCCCTCCCGGGTCTCCAGTGTGGTCGAGTGGCCCTCGTGGAGCAGCCACTCCACCAGCACCGGGTGTCCAAAACGGGCGGCCAGGTGCAGCGGGGAGACGCCCGAGGCATCTTGGTCCTACCGAGGCCCAGGCAGGTCAGTGAGTGGGGGGTAGGCCGTGTGGCCAGAGCCAGCTGCTAGAGGAGCCCCAGGCGAGGGCTTACACTGCCTGCAACCCAGCGAAGGGGCTTCCAGCTCCTTCCTCCTTCCCTCCGTTTCTGCCTGCAACATGGAGGGAGGTGCTCCCTGCTGGGACTGAGGTGAGAGGAGGGCCAGGACTCAGGTCCAGGTCTTGGGAGGCCACCTCTGGCAACCCTGCCCCTCCTGGGCCCCCGTCCCCAGTGCGGAGAAGGCCCTTTCCCACTCAGCCGGGTGCCCACAGACACCCGCCCACTCTGCTCATGGTCAGAAAGGCTTCCCAGGACACTTGCCTCTGGCTGGTTCCCTGCCCCAGTGCCCTCCCTCTGGCCACAGGGCCCCGGGGCCAGGGAGCATTCCCACCACAGGTGCCAGGGGTCCAGCAGACCGAGGCCTTCTCCAAGGGCCCTGTGGTCAGAATGGATCCCCAGGCAGGCACAGCTCCCACCTGCTGCCCTTGAGCTTGGCGGAATGGGATGCTAGGCTGGCACTCTCAGGCCCTCTGGTGAGCCAGGTGCCGGGGAACCTTCCCGCTCCCTAATCTCAGCAGGTCCCACCGGCCCTCACCCCAACTCTGACCTCTGGGCAGTGTTCTAAGGCCCGTCAGTCCTGCTCGCCCTCAGTCCTGAAAGCTCCACAGGGCTGAGCAACAGCTCGAAGGCCCTCACCTGCACAAGGGGACGGGGCAGGCAGGAGAGGGGAGGGGCCCAGTAGAAATGCTCCAGACAAGACAGTCACCATCAGCAGCCCTCACTCCCGTCTCCCAACCAGGTTCCCAGCTCTCAAGCCCGACTTCCCACAGCCCTTCTGTAAGGATCCCTTTCTAGACCCTTTGGGAAGCGGGCCCTGTGGACCAGGCCTGATCAGAGACAAGGGGTCTTGACCTCTGGCAAGACCCCCACTGGTAACACCCAGCTTCCTGGCAGGCGAGGTGATAAGAACATTTAGGAGGTGTTCTTGGCTCTCAAGACTTTGTGCTCTGAGAAGCGTGGGGCAGAGACGGCGACCACTGAGTCCCCAAGAGAAACGAAGAGCCCAGGGCCGTGGAGCCCGGGGTGGCCAGTGCTGAGCCTGCGTGGCTCACACCTCCCTGGTTCCACCCCAGCCAGGTTTGTGGAGGCCAGGCTGCCCCGTCCCCGCTCACCTGCAGACCGCAGCCCCCCTCGCGGACCAGCCAGCACAGCTCGGCCAGGCTGCCTGTGGCGGCGGCGTCATGCGCTGGGGTGGCCCCATTGTGGGCCCGCTGGTTGCCAGGCAGCTGGGCCCGCTGCACCAAGAACTTGACACAGTCCAGGTGGCCGGCCCGGGTGGCGTGGTGAACCAGGCCGGCCCCCAGAGCATCGGTGATGCCCGGGCCCAGGGCGCCAGCGTCCAGCAGCCGCTCCAGTGTTGCCACATCCCCATCCTTGGCGGCCACGAGTGCCCGCTGCTCCTCCATCCTCTGGCCCGGGCTCTCAGTGGTGACTCATGCACAGGCCAGGGCTTCTTGTTTCAGACGTGGATGAAGCTGCCGGCTCTGGTTACCTGATAAGCCGCCACAGGGCAGATGGGAGGCGTTGGGGCGGGGTGGGGGGGATACACCTTGGGGACCTGCCCGAGCCACTCCCACAGCGTGAGCGCGCCAGGTGCCTGGAGCTGGGAGGATGGAGTGCAGCATACAGGGAAAGGCCCACACCAGGCTAGGTCAGGGCTGGGCATGGCCCGCGGAGAAAGGAGGCTGGCCCTGAGGCTGCTCACATCTGTCCAGACGGCACGAACCCACCTCTTCAACTGCGGAGCGAGGGCTGAGGACACGCATCACTGAGCTTCTCACAGGAGCCCCGAGCAGCCTGGGAGATGGTTCCCCCAATTCTCACAGAAGGGCAGACCCCCAGCCGCCACCACAGTGCGCCTGAAGTAAAGGCTGCCCAGTAGGTCTGCGTGTTTGGCTGTGTTGGCACAGAGCTGAGCGCTCCGCCTCTGGATCTGGCCCTGGGCCCTGGAGGCTATGAATCTCTGGGGACGCAGTGGCTCCATAGGGCCTGCGACGGGCCCAGGACCCTGACTTGGGTGTGTCCAGCCCCTGCCTCAGCCCCCTCTCCAACTACACTGACCGAGTCTCTGGGCTGCAGTCCAAAGAGCCCAAGTACATTTAACCCCTTTCCAGATTGTTCTGGACAATCCACAGTTCTTCTTTAGGGAAGTCAGGACCACCAAGCCTCCTCCTGGCAGCAATGGGAAGCTGCAGATCGGGGACCCATTCCATTTGTAGGGGCTCCCGGAGACGCAGCCTCAAGCTGGATTTCTGGGCTAATGCATCCTCACACAATGGTGACCTGGGGGCTGCTGCACCCCTGGTTTCCCCCATCCACAGGCTCCGTCAGATGCCTTCGTGCCCAAGCGCAGGGCCCACTAGAGAAACCACAGCAGACCCAAGCCGGGCACTGAAATCTTTTGTTCATTTAGTTTCTGGCAAGCGTTTCCTCAAAATCATTATGTAGTTCCTTGAACCGTAAAACTACACATTAAAAGTGTTATTCCACTGAAAATGACTCCTATGCAAACATCGACATGGGATGTGTGTCCAAATGCCACAGAGTATTTTGAGAAAAAATCCTCTGCAAATAAAATTAAGGTAAAAGCTGAGTCAGGGATGATCCAATTCCCACCCCAGGAATGACCTGGAGCTGCACCAGCTCAGTGAGGTTGGAGCTGAAACCCTGAGTTAATGATCAAAAGGGACAAGACGAGAAGGCCTGGGGACTGTGGATGGGGAAGCGCGCAGCCCTGAGTGCCAGTGGGCAGAACAGGGTCAGGCTCGGGGAAGCAGGAGGGGTGGTGTGCGGTAGGCGCTGAGCAGAGCAGGCCTGGCTGAGGCTGGGGGCCACTGTGCACTGAGGCCAGAGGAGCAGGGTGGTGGGGGCAGCTTTGGAAAGGGACTAAAAAGGGCCTGAGAAGAGACCACTCAGGAAAAGTACAGGTGCGAGGCCACGATCAAAGCAAGAAAATCAAGTTTCCTATGTTCATGATAGCATTTGGCTGACAATGAGTTATAAATACTTGGATTCTATCTTCCTGATAAAAACACCTTCCAGGAAAGGGCACTTCCAACAGGCTTGCCCAGTTCCCAGTGGGGAGGGTGGATGAAGCTGGTGTTTCCACTTCACCACTGGAGGACGGTTCTATGTGGGCGTTCCTATGTGGCATTGGTGTCCTGGGCCCTGTGAGCTCTGCAGGGGTCCAGGGAAGGAAACTGGGGGTGCACACTTGCAGGCACTCCAGGACAGAATGCAGAGGGGGCATGAGACAGTCATCCTGGCCCAGCCCTCAGGAGGGAACTGGAGGGACAATCCTGAGCCCTGCCACGGGCTTCCTAGAAGCGGGGCGGGGAGGGCGGCCCCGGCGCTAGGCCTGGTTCTCCAGCTGCGCCACGGCCTGCTTCAGGTCCTGCACGACGAGGTCCACTTCGGCCCTGGTGGTGCTGCGGCCCACGCTGAGGCGGAGCGCGTTCCTGGCCACGTCGAAGGGGATGCCGCAGTTCAGCAGCACTGGGGACGGCCTGGGGAGGGCGAGACCGGGTGGCAGCTGCTGCCAAAGGCACATGGAAGAGACACAGCGTTCCCCGCTCTGGACTACTCCCCCAGTGGGGCTCTGCCCACCCGGGTGCGCGCCTGCCCTGCCTGGTATCCGCCTCCTGCTGAACTCCTGGACCAAGCACACCCCTAAGACCACCCATATCAAGGTGCGGCTCAAAGTCGCCACCATTCTCCCTGTAGAGTTCTCTTGCACTTGGCACTCCCAGGTGACACTGCCCCCCTCTCGCACTGAGCTCTGGGGCCAGGGGTTCTCCTGTCCTTGAGGGGTCTGAGGTCCTGGAGAACACTGATGCTGACACAGACAGTACCTCACCCATGCGGCCCATCTAAGCCACTTGGTAACTTCATGGCACCTGGCATGGGGCTTTGCAGACACTAGGGATCCAGCCAGTATCTAGCCATGGAACAGATGACTGCGTGTGGGCGTCCGGAAGCAGGGCTGCTGGAGGCTTGAGGTGTGGGCTCTGCCAAGGTGCTTGCCCTCATCACACCCAGACCCCTTTCTTCCCCTGCCCTCTCCTGCCCCTCCTATAGCAGGGCACTGCCCCCCACCCCTACAGGGCCCTGTCCTGCCCCTCCTTTTCCCTGGAGCCGGGCCCACCACTGTCTCGCTCCAAGTGCTCCTACACAATCCCTCCGCCCTGACCCTGATGACCACGTGCTGCTGGCCACAGTTCTCTCTCCCCAGAGCCCTGGGTGTTTCTCCTACATTCACTCCGACCTCCCACAGGGGTCACACATTTTCAGCAGGCCAGACCCGGAAGCGCTTCTCCCCCGCTGCCAGCAGGCTGCTGCTCGGGTGCCCCACACCCTCTACCCCCCAGTCTCCGCCAGGCAGGCCACCCGCTCACCTGGACCCGCTATCCCAGAATCTCTGCTGCATCTTGCAGATGGCTGATCTGACACCTGAGTCTGCTCACGCCATGGCCCTCAGGGCTCCCCCTTCCATGAGATTTAAGTGAGCACTGACAGGCCACCCCTCCCCAGCCCACCCCAGTCCTCCCCAGCCCCAGCCACGCTGCCCCTCCAGGCCCTGCTCCCCCTGCCTTCAGAACTGAGCACGAGAAGCCCTCTTCCCCCGCGCAAGTCCTAGTCCTTTGGACGGCAGCTTAGAAGTCACTTCTTCCAGGAAGCCCTCCCTCTGCCCTCCTAGGACCCAGACAGGGCCGCCCTTCACGAGCCAGAGCGCGGCCCAGTGGCCGCCTGCCCAGCACACCCAGTGCCCGGAGGACCCCTATGCCCTGGACTGGGTTTGTGAAGAGCACTTACTGGTCCCCATGGTCCGAGTGGCACGCAGCCCCCACACTGGCCAGCAGCACTCGGCACTGCGCAAGCACCTCGTGGCCTGTGGAGACAGAGTACGCGCCACTGAGATGGGGCTCCAGCCAGGCCGCCCTTCTCTCCCCTCCCAGGGTCCTGCTGGCGCAGGCTGCTTCCCTCCCTCCGTGCCACCTGGTGGAATTCCAGCACCGGCCATTCTGGCAGCTGGGGAGAGATCGCACAGCAGGAGCCGAAGAAGATGCTTCTCTCTCCTTTGGCTGCAGAAACGTGGACGCTATTCTCCCTCACAAAGCTGGCCTTGAAAACGGCACTCGATTTTAATCAACTGCCTGCGAGGACACCTGGAGTCCTGACCCGCTCCGTCCTTACGAGCTGGCAGTCCCGACAATATCACGTCTCCACCTGTGTTCTGGATTGCAGAGACACGTGGGAGTTCTATGAAGCCAGAAGGCACTTCCCTCTTCTTTCACAAGCATGGCTGATGGAATTAACATGAGAATTTCAGCCAGGCGTAGTGGTTTCCACCTGTAATCCCTGCACTTCGGGAGGCAGAGGCAGAAGGATTGCTTGAGCCAGGAGTTTGAGACCAGCCTGGGCAACACAGGGAAACCCTATCTCTACAAAATATTTTTTAAAAATTAGTCATGGCTGGGCATAGTGGCTTACCCCTGTGATCCCAGCACTTTGCAGGGCCAAGGCAGGTGGATCACTTGAGGTCAGGAGTTCGAGACCAGCCCGGCCAACATGGCAAAACCCCATCTCTACTAAAAATACAAAAATTAGCCGGGCGTGGTGGCAGGCACCTGTAATCCCAGCTACTCTGGAGGCTGAGGCAGCAGAATTGCTTGAACCCAGGAGGCGGAGGTTGCAGTGAGCCGAGATCGTGCCACTGCACTCCAGCCTGGTCAACAAGAGTGAAACTCCGTCTCAAAAAAAAAAAAAAATGTTAGCCAGGTGTGGTGGTGCATGCCTGTAGTCCCAGTTACTAGGGAGGCTGATCACTTGAACCCAGGAGGTCAAGGCTACAGTGGGCTGTGATTACACAGCACTCCAGCCTGGGTGACGAGAGTGAGACCCTGAATCCAAAAATAAATATATAATATGAGAATCTCTGTCTCATTTAAAGTGATATAGGTTGTCACTGAATACAAAGTCTGACCCCAGAACAAGGGGAATGTTGACAGAGAACTCTCCTTTCCATGGTGAGGAATCTGAGATGGTCAAGGAAACCCAGGCTTCCTTGCCCATAAGAACGCATTTCAGCCCAGGTTCTCACGAACGCAGCCATCATGACAGTTACCCACGGGCTCTTCTTCATGGGCCAAACACGACTGCTGGGTTTCTCCGCATGATCCAGGAAGAAGAAAGAAGCAACACCTTCATCCTCTAAGAAGTCAAAACCTCGTCTACAGAGGCAGCTCATCGTGATCTCAGGGCCACCATAACCTGCTCCCAAATGACACATGGCTGGTCAATGACCTGGACTTCCACTCTCATGGAGTCAGGGCAGACCAGGTTTCAGGTGCATCTGGGACAGGGGTGACCCTAACTGCTCCTAGCTGAGGCGGATGCCGCAGGAAATCCAGATTTGTACTTGCTCCTTAGTCTGCCAGTTATTTTTATTGTTTTTTTGTTTGTTTGAGACAGACAGAGTCTCACAAACTCTGTCACCCAAGCTGGAGTGCAGTGGCTCAATCTTGGCTCACTGTAACCTCCAGGTTCAAGCAATTCTGCCTCAGCCTCCCGAATAGCTGGGACTACAGGTGCACACCACTATGGCTGGCTAATTTTTTGTAGTTTTTGGTAGAGATGGGGTTTCTCCATGTTGGCCAGGCTGGTCTCAATCTCTTGACCTTGTGATCAGCCTGCCTCGGCCTCCGAAAGTGCTAGGATTACAGGCCTGAGCCACTGTGCCCAGCCTCTGCCAGTTTTTAAAACTGATCGCCTCCCCTTTCCCTTACTCTAATAAAATATTTAATAAAAACTGCCAACAAAATAGATAAATGTCTAGAATTTAATGTTACTTCCTTCCCTGACAGCTTTTGGGGTGGTGCTAATGCCAGACATGAGAGTTCGCCACGGTCCACATCCCAGCAGCAGCAAAATGAGCCAAGTCAGGGAGAGGAGGGGCTGGCAGCAAGAGCCCGATGGACCACAGCACAGCCACCTGAGCCTGCTCTCAGCAATCCCAGCAAGGCCCTCTGACAGCCCGAGCTGTGTCATGCTCAGGGCAGGGAGAGTGGGAGTTGCTGGCTCGGACCAGAACCCATGCACCGCGGGAGCTATGCTCACACTCGGAGAGACCAGGGTGAGGGGCCGTCACCTTGAAGCCGGGGTCCCCGGATGGAGAAGTTGCAGGTATTGGGAAGCCGCTGGGTCCCTGGAAACTGGCTATTCAGATGGATTCTCTTCTGACCGAATTCAGCCTGAAAAAAATAAGTGAAATATTTGGTGGCCTTCAAAGACACCACCATCAGCAACTGTTTGAAATTTAGACTTTTCCAGAAACACAATCTCAGCAGGTGCATACTTTTCAATCAGCATCTACCCAGAATAGTTATGGGGACAGACTATGGAAAGCAAAGTTAATTAGGAGAAAAACCAAATATTCGGAAACATATGAACCTTCCACATAAACCATGAAGTATACCACCTCTGCGTATTTGATCATGTGTCTCTGAAAAAGATCATGCCCCTGGCCTAGGGCCCCACTTTCGGGGTTTCTGATCCCAGTGTGCTTCCCGCCACTGTTATTTCTTCCCTCACTGCATCCTGACGAGTTCCAGGCTACGCTGCAATCCCCATAGGTCCTGAGGTCTAGGAGCACCACGTCCCCTCTCCCTCCGGGCACCTGCCCCACACACCCTCCCTCTCCTGGTACCCACCCCACACTGCACTCACTTCCAGCCTCTCCTCCAGGTAGTCGCGGATATCCCTCATGTGGGCCTCGTAAGCCTCGCAGTTCTGGGTCACCAGCTCCGCGGCCTGGGGGCAGACACACTAGTGGAAGCACAATTCTTACAAAACAAAGGAGGGCAAAAAAGCTTTCAACAGCACAGGCAGCATTTCCTGAAACCGCTCATTCTCCTGACAGTCACAGACAGACCATATTTTTTGAGTGCTGCCATTTGGAGGGTGTGGAAGTGCCACAGAAATTGACTCCACCAGGCACTTCCTGACAGCGCCAGGCACTGGAGATGCCCCAGCAAAGCAGCCCTAAAGGGGATCCCAACCCTTGAGGAGCCAGCATCCAAGAGGCAGACAGACAAAAGCAGGGGCGGGGGGAACAGACTCCTACCCACCAGTTGGCGCTGTGAAGGGACCTCGCAGGCCCGAGGTGGGGTGGTGGCAGATGGCTGCACAAGGGCAGGGAGTGGCGTCTCAGCAAGGGCTTTGCAGGGGACAGTCATTCTGTCTCTAGAACAGAGGGGCCTGGTGTGGTGGGTGGAGAGTGCAGAGGGGGTGAAGGCCCAGGGACAGATCCACAGGCCCTGCAGGCCTGGTCACGGGGCAGACGCAGTGAGGCTCTGAGGGAGGGATGCGATGGTCTGACTGGCCTGTGTGTTGGTCACTCTGTGGCTGTGTAGACAATGGCAGCAGCAGGCCCCCAGGAGGCCATGGCAGGCATCCAGACCCGTGGTCTAGGGTTAGTGGCCAAGAAAATGGACATGAGGCCGGTAGTGGGTGTATTCTGGAGTCCAGACAGACAGGACGGCTGCTGTATGAGAGGCAGGGGACGATGACAAGGACGGACTGAGGGCATCTCCCGGACTTCAGAGGCGAGAACCTGGATAGCGGGAGGTACCCAGGGTGGGAAGAGGGTGGAGGAGAGCGGTCGGGACAGGCTTTGAACTGAGAGGAATGGGTCTCTCAGGAGATGGGCCAGGGCCTAGCTGAGATGTCAAGTTCAAAGGCAGGAGCACAGGCATCACAGTGACAGGACGGACAGAGGGATCCACGAGAGTGCAGGTGCAGGGAAGGGCTACCAGCACGCAACCAAGGCAGAAAGGAATGGGTGGGGGAAAGAATGTTGGGGAGGGCGTGTGCAGGATGGACTCCAGGCTGGGCAGCAGGGGGGGCTGTCTAACACGCTGGTGGCATCGGGGTCTGGGCGAAGCTGAAGAACCAGCGGGGGTGTGGTGCTGGGGCTGAGACCAAGCTGTGGCACTTGTGCTGTTACAGGTGCAGATGCAGCTGCAGGAGCACGGAGAAGGTCAGGGGCTGGGGGGCTTCGAGCACTGTGAGCTGAGGCTCTATCGAGGAAGCTGTTACCATGATTCCCATCTGGCATGGGGGATAGCCAGGACTCAGGGAGTTCCAGCGACCTGACCCAAGGCACAGGGTGAGTGAAACTTCAAGCCAGGATTTGAACCCTGGTATTTCAAAGCCTGTGGACCGCACCACTACTTCATCATTCAGTTCAATATGAGCAGGTACTGGACTCCACTTAAAACACACTCTTCCGGCCGGGCACGGTGGCTCACACCTGTAATCCCAGCACTTTGGGAGGCCAAGGCGGGTGGATCACCTGAGGTTAGGAGTTCGAGACCAGCTGGCCAACATGATGAAACCCTGTCTCTACTAAAAATACAAAAATTAGCCAGGCACGGTGGTGCATGCCTGTAGTTCCAGCTACTTGGAGGCTGAAGTGGGAGAATTTCTTGAACCTGGGAGGTGGAGGTTGCAGTGAGTCAAGATCATGCCACTGCACTCCAGCCTGGGTGACAGAGTGAGACTCCGTCTCAAACAAAAACACTCTTCCTTCTAGTAAATGTAGCCTTAGTTATCACTGTTAATAATTTTGGGTATTCTAAGTAACAGGGGATCCATTCATATTCTTCCCAAGGCCCGGCCTCCTGGGCGCCAAGCCGTTTCTCTGTACTGGGGATACTGAGGCCAAGCCCCTGCTCTCGTGGAGCTGACAAGCCCCTTCGAAGGGGAAGCAGGAAGTGGGGCATATATCTGAACACACTACAGAGAAACATCAGATAGGGGAAATAAAGCAGTGTCAGGGATAGAGCGTGACAGCAGGGGACATGGGGGGACCAATGTAGCTGTGGTTCATGGAGGGGTGCTTGAAGGTGGTGGCCTTTAAGCAGAGGCCTGCACAGTGAGGGAACAGCCTGCAGATGCCAAGGCGTGACCAGGACCCCTGCCCTCGCACAGCAAAACCTGAGCCTGGTTACTGTGGCAGAAGCAGGACAGGCCCCCGTGGAGGGCTGGCGGCAGGTGCTGGATTGGCCACCCACAGACCAATTGGGGACAGAAGGTCCATGGTCTGGGCGCTGCCAACGCCTGTGGGAATGGTGAACCTGCGGCCTGACGTTTCGCCTCTGCTGTAAGAGTATCACTGGTTCTCATGTCACGAGAGACAGAGACAAGGAGTTTTTCCCTTTTAAATGCTAAGCAAGTGCCACTAATCCAGACATCTGAAAAAGTACAGATCTCTGGGTTGATAAATCAGATTCCAGGCTTTTTCTTGTCAGTCTGTTTATGAGATCACGAATATGATCTCCCTAAAGCCCCGGATTCCTGCTAGAGCCACTGGGGTCACTGATGACAAAGCAATCAACCCATCTCCTCCAGCTCACCAGGGCTCACCTTCCCAAGGCCAGCAATCATTGGGGTGTTCTCTGTCCTGTAAGAAACAAGGGATTCAGCAAGAATAAACAAAAGTCTCAGGAAGGAATCCTGTCTCCATGAAAGTCATTGTGTTAAAACAAAAATAAACTCACGCTCCATCTTTCCTAAGCATGCGCCATGTGGCTATCTCAATGGCAGCTGCAGGCCCCAGAAACCTCCCCTGCCAAGTCTGCACTTGCCCTGGCCCAGTGAAGGTCAACAAGGCCCACTGTGGGTGACGCGTTGGGTGTTCACTGTGACAATTCTATCTGGATCCTTTGCCAACCCAAAGCAAGCACTCTTCCTCCCGCAGGCCCCAAGGCACAGCTCTCTTTAGTCCTCACTGCCAAACCAGGACAGTATGGAACAGGGGAGAACCTTTGTTCTCAACATTTCAGGCATCAGCAAACAAGAGGGGTGTGTGTGTGTGCATGTGTGTGCGTGTGTGGGGGGGTGGGCTTAATTTTTTTTTTTGAGACAGGGTCTCACACTGTTGCCCAGGTTAGAGTGCAGCAGATTTCGACTCACTGCAACCTCTACCTCCCAGGTTCAAGTGATTCTCCTGCCTCAGCCTCCTGAGTATCTGGGATTACAGGCACACGCCACCATGCCTGGCTAAGTAGAGACAGGGTTTCTTTTTTGTTGTTGTTATTATACTTTAAGTTCTAGGGTACATGTGCACAATGTGCAGGTTTGTTACATATGTATACATGTGCCACGTTGGTGTGCTGCACCCAATAACTTGTCATTTAAATTAGGTATATCTCCTAATGCTATCCCTCCCCCCTCCCCCTACCCCACAACAGGCCCCGGTGTGTGATGTTCCCCACCTGTGTCCAAGTGTTCTCATTGTTCAATCCCCACCTATGAGTGAGAAAATGCGGTGTTTGGTTTTCTGTTCTTGCGAGAGTCTGCTGAGAATTTCCAGCTACATCCATGTCCCTACAAAGGACACGAACTCATCCTTTTTTATGGCTGCATAGTATTCCATGGTGTATATGTGCCACATTTTCTTAATCCAGACTATCACTGATGGACATTTGGGTTGATCCCAAGTCTTTGCTATTGTGAATAGTGCCACAATAAACATACGTGTGCATGGGTCTTTATAGCAGCATGATTTATAATCCTTTGGGTATATACCCAGTAATGGGATGGCTAGGTCAGATGGTATTTCTAGTTCTAGATCCTTGAGGAATCACCACACTGTCTTCCACAATTGTTGAACTAGTTTATAGTCCCACCAACAGTGTAAAAGCATTCCTATTTCTCCACATCCTCTCCAGCACCTGTTGGTGCTTTTTAATGATCGCCATTCTAACTGGTGTGACATGGTATCTCATTGTGGTTTTGATTTGCATTTCTCTGATGGCCTGTGATGATGAGCATTTTTTCATGTGTCTGCTGGCTACATAAATGTCTTCTTTTGAGAAGTGAGAGACAGGGTTTCACCATGTTGGTCAGGCTGGTCTCAAACTCCTCACCTCATGATTCGCTGGCCTCGGCCTCCCAAAGTGCTGGGATTAAAGGCATGAGCCACTGCACCCAGCCCAGTAATTTCTTAAGTTTGGCTGAACAAAGTTTTCTTAAACCTCTGGACCCGGCTATTGCTTGTTTACCAGTAGATATTTTCTCTGCACCCTCACCAGCATTTGGTGGTGTCTCTATTCTTATTTTAGCCATCTTTATAGGTGTTAGTGATATCTGGTGGTTTTAATTTGCATTTCCCCAATAACTAATGCTGTTGAACATCTTTTCCTGTGCTTGTTACATGGGTCTCGTCTTTGGTGAAATGTCTGTTTATATTTTTTGCCTATTTTCTGATTGAATTTATTGTATTATTTTTGCTGTTGAGTTTTGCAAGTTCTTGATATATTCTAGATACCATTCCTTTGTCAAAGTCATTTGAAAATATTTTTTCCTAGATTTAGCTTATCTTCCCATACTCTTAATATGGTCTTTCCCAGAGCAAAAGCTTTAAATTCTGATGAAGTCTAATTTATCCGTTTTTCCTTTTATGGATGCTTTTGGTGTCAAGTCTAAGAACTCTTTGCCTAGTTCTAGAACTTGAAGATTTTCTCCTATTTTTAAGCGGTTTTATTGCTTTATGTTTTTCATTTAATTTCATGATCTATTTTGAGATACTATTTTATGAGGTATAAGACAGGGGTGTCCAAATCCTTTGGCTTCCCGAGGCCACACTGGAAGAATTCTCTTGGGCCATATATAAAATACACTAACGACAGCTGATGAGCTTAAAAATTAAAAAAAAAAAAACGCAAAAAAAACCACCAATGTTTTAAGAAAGTTTATGCATTTATGTTGGGCTACATTCAAAGCTGTCCTGGGCCATATGCAGCTGCAGGCCGCAGGTTGGAAAAGCTTGGTGCAAGACTTGGGTCAAGGTTAATTTTTTGCCTATTGATAACTAACTGCCTTGGCACCATCTGTTGAAAGGCTAACTTGCCATCTGCTGAATAGCTGACTTTCATTTGCTGAATTGATTTGCATCTCCTGTGGTTGTATCTGCACCCATAACTCATATGGGCCTATTTCTGTATGGGTCTATTCTCCTCCACTGATCTACCTGCTGGCATTTTGACAGAAATTGTTAGGCCTGTGTATCCATTTGGAGAGAACTGACATCTTTGGTATGTAGAATCTTCCAAACTATGAACATGGTATGTGTCTCTGCTTAGATCTTAATTTCTCTCATCCATGGTATACTATTTTTAGCATATAAGTCCTTTATATTTTGCTAGTTTATATCTGAGTAATTTTGTTTCATTGTAAATGGTATTTTTTTTTTTTTTGAGACGGAGTCTTGCTCTGTTGCCCAGGCTGGAGTGCAGTGGCACGATCTCAGCTCACCGCAAGCTCTGCCTCCCAGGTTAATGCCATCCTCCTGCCCCAGCCTCCCGAGTAGCTGGGACTACAGGCGCCCGCCACCTCGCCCAGCTAGGTTTTGTATTTTTTAGTAGAGACAGGGTTTCACCATGTTAGCTAGGATGGTCTCCATCTCCTGACCTCGTGATCCGCCCGTCTCGGCCTCCCAAAGTGGTAGGATTACAGGCTTGAGCCACTGCACCCAGTCGTAAATGGTATTTTATTTTTAATGTTACTGTCCACTCGTTCATTACCATTATATAAAAATAAGACAGATTTTTGCATGTTTATCTTGTGTCCTGCAACCTTGCTATACTCACTTATTAGTTCTAGCAGTTTTCTTGTACATTCCTTGGGATTTTCTTTATAGACAATCGTGTGATATGATTAGAAACAACTTTACCTCTTCCATTCTGATCTATATGCCTTTTGCTTCCTTTTCATGCCTTACTGCGCTGACCAGAACTTCCACCACTATGTTGGATAAGTGTGGTGACAGTGAACATCCTTGCTTTGTTCCCCCAGCCACAGGAGTAAAACACTGAGGCTTTCACCGCTAAGAACGATGTTAGCTGTAGGTTTTATGTAGATGTTCTTTATCAAGAAAGTTCCCCACTAATCCTATTATTCTGAGTTTTTAACATGAATGGTTGAATTTTGTCAAATGCTTCTGCTGCATCAAACATGAACATGTTATCTTCTTTATTCGTTAGCTTCTTAATATGGTAGATTACATTGATTAAATTTTTTTATTTTTGTAGAGATGGGTCTTGCAGTTCACCTAGGCTGGCCTTGAACTCCTAGCCTCAAGTGATCCACTTCCCTTGGTATCCCAAAGTACTGGGGGATTACAGGCATGAGCCACCGTGCCCTGCCTTGATTGCATTTTTCCTTTTTTTTTTTTTTTTTGAGACAGAGTCTTGCTCTGTTGCCTAGGCTGAAGTGTGGTGGTGCCATCTCAGCTCACTGTAACCTCTGTTACCCAGGTTCAAGTGATTCTTGTGCCTCAGCCTTCCAAGTAGCTGGGATTACTAGTGTCCGTCACCACACCTGGCTAATTTTTGTATTTGTAATAGAGACGAGGTTTTACCATGTTGGCCAGGCTGGGCCCGAACTCCTGACTTCAAGTGATCTACCCGCCTTGGCCTCCCAAAGTTCTGGGATTGCAGGCTTGAGCTACCACTCCCGGCTCTAGATTGCATTTTGAATACTGAACCAGCCTTGCATCTGTGGAATAAATGCCACTTGGTCACAGTGTATCATTATTTTTTTGAGACAGAGTCTCACTTTGTCACCCAGCCTGGAGTGTACAGTTGTGATCATAGCTCAACACAGACTCGACCTCCCAGGCTCACTCAAGCAATCCTCCTATCTCAGCTTCTCGAGTAGCTGGGACTATAGGCATGTACCACCATGTCCAGCTAATTTATTTTTTGAAGAGGGGTCTCACTATGTTGCCCAGTCTGGTCTTGAACTCCTGGGCTCAAGTGTTCCCAATTCCCCTGCCTCAGCCTCCCAAAGTGCTGGGATTATATGCGTGAACCAGCACACCCAGCTGTATATAATTCTTTTTATGTATTGCTGAATTCTATTTGTAGACATTTTGTTAAATATTTTTTGCATCAAAATTCATGATGATGTTGGGCTGTAAAGGATTTTTTTGTACTGTCTTTACCTGGTTTTAGTATCAGGATCTAGGTTCATAAAATGAACCGGGAAGTTGTCCTTCCTCTTTATTTTCTGGAAGAGACTGTATAGAAATGTTAATTCTTCTTTAAACAAAGAATTCTTCGATAGAATTCCCCCAGTGAAGCCACTGGGCCTGAAGACTTCTCTTTGTGGAGTTTTAAAGCTGTAAGTTCAATTTCCTAATGGTTATAGAGCTATTCAAATGACCTATTTTATATCAAGTGAGTTGTGGTAGTTTGTGCTTTTTGAGGAAGTGGTCAGTTTCATCTAAGTTGTCAACTTCCTATGTGTAGAGCTGTTTGTGTCATTCCCTTCTTATCCTTTTGATGGCTGCAGGGCCTGGAGTGATACTCCTTGTTTCATTCCTGATGTTATAACTTCTCTGTTTTTCTGGTTAGTCTTCATAGAGGTCTGTCCTGGGCTCAAGGAATCCTACCATCTATCTCAGCCTCCCAAGTAGCTGAGACTACAGGCCTGTGCCACCACATACAGCATTTTTCTTTTTGTAGAAACAAGATTTCAGCATGTTGCTCAGGCTGGTCTTGAACTCCTGGCCTCAAGCAATCTATGTGCCTTGGCCTCCCAAAGTGCTGGGATTAGAAATGTGAGCCACCACGCCCAGCTAATGGTTTTGTTTTGTTCTGTTTTTTTCCAGACGGAGTTTCACTCTTGTTGCCCAGGCTGGAGTGCAATGGTGCAATCTCGGCTCACCACAACCTCTGCCTCCCAGGTTCAAGTGATTCTCCTGCCTCAGCCTCCCTAGTAGCTGGGATTACAGGCATGTGCCACCACACCTGGCTCATTTTGTATTTTTTTTTTTTTTTGAGACTGAGTCTGGCTCTGTCGCCCAGGCTGGAGTGCAGTGGCCGGATCTCAGTTCACTGCAAGCTCCACCTCCCGGGTTTACGCCATTCTCCTGCCTCAGCCTCCCGAGTAGCTGGGACCACAGGCGCCCACCACCTCGCCCGGCTAGTTTTTTGTATTTTTTAGTAGAGACGGGGTTTCACCGTGTTAGCCAGGATGGTCTCGATCTCCTGACCTAGTGATCTGCCCGTCTCAGCCTCCCAAAGTGCTGGGATTACAGGCTTGAGCCACCGCGCCCAGCTCATTTTGTATTTTTAATAGAGACGGGGTTTCTCCATGTTGGTCAGACTGGTCTTGAACTCCTGACCTCAGGTGATCCGCCCGCCTTGACCTCCCAAAGTGCTGGGATAACAGGTGTGAGCCACCATGCCTGGCCAATACTGTCTTTTTATTTATTTATTTATTTATTTATTTGAGACGGAGTCTCGCTCTGTCACTCGGGCTGGAGTGCAGTGGCCGGATCTCAGCTCACTGCAAGCTCCGCCTCCTGGGTTTACGCCATTCTCCTGCCTCAGCCTCCGGAGTAGCTGGGACTATAGGCGCCCACCACCTCGCCCAGCTAGTTTTTTGTATTTTTTAGTAGAGACAGGGTTTCACCGTGTTAGCCAGGATGGTCTCAATCTCCTGACCTCGTGATCTGCCCGTCTCAGCCTCCCAAAGTGCTGGGATTACAGGCTTGAGCCACTGTGCCCGGCCTTTTTTTTAAAGAGACAGGCTCTTGCTCTGTTGCCCAGGCTGGAGTGCAATGGTGTGGTCATAGCTCACTGCAGCCTCGAACTTCTGGGCTTGAGTGATCCTCCTCGCTCAGCCTCCTGAGTAGCTGGGACTACAGGCACGCACTGCCATGTCGGCTAATTAAAAAAAAATTTTTTAGAGATGAGATCTTGCTATGTTGCCCAGGCTGGAGTGCAATGGCGTGATCATAGCTCACTGCAGCCTCGAATTTCTGGGCTCAAGTGATCCTCCCCCCTCAGCCTCCTGAGTAGCTGAGACCACAGGCATGCACTGCCATGTCGGCTGAATTTTTTTTAGAGATGAGATCTTGCTATGTTGCCCAGGCTGGTCCTGAACTCCTGTCCTCAAGCAATCCTCTTGCTTTGGCCTCCCAAAGCAGTGGGATTATAGGTGTGAGCCACCGTGCCAGCCTGTGTTGTCTTTTTCAAAGTTCTAGTGAAGCACAGACCTCATCTGCTTTTATGTTCCTTTACTTTGCCTTTCTATAATTATCTTAAATATGTCCTTTATGTACATTTTGAACCACAGGAGATACTGCTATGAGTTTTGCTTATGCTATCAAACATAATTCAGAAAACTCTAAAGGAGAAGGAAAGCCTATTCTATTTGGTGACAAATTCTTAGTTTTCCTTCATCTGAGAATATTCTGATTACTTCTTCATTCCTGAAAGATACATTCACTGGGTACAGGATTCCGGCTTGATGGTTTTCTTTGAGCACTTGAAGAAAAATAATTGTCCCCCTTTCTTCTGGTCTTTCTGGTTTCTGATGAGACCACTGTCATTCAAATTCTTTTTCCCTTATTGGTGAAATGTCATCTTTCTCTGACTGCTTTCAAGAATTCTCTCTTTCATTTTTAGAAGTCTAATCATATGTCTCTGGCATGGATTTCTCTGGGTTTATGCTATTTGGGGTTTGCTCAGTTTCTTGATTCTGTACGTTTATGTCTCTTGCCAAATTCAGGAAATTTTTTAGCCATTATTTCTTCAAGTACCTTTGCAGGCTGTTATCTTTCTCTGTTTCAGGGGATTTTAATGAAATGAATGTTGTATCATTTGTTATTGTCTCACAGGTCCCTGCAGCTCTATTTTAAATCCCATTATTTTTTTGAGACAGAGTCTCGCTCTGTTGCCCAGGCTGGAGTGCAGTGGTACGATCTCGGCTCACTGCAACCTCTGCCTCCCAGGTTCAAGGGATTCTCCTGCCTCAGCCTCCCATGTAGCTGGGACTACAGGCACGTGCCACCAAGACAGGCTATTTTTTTTTTTTTTTCAGTAGAGATGGGGTTTCACTGTGTTAGCCAGGATGGTCTCGATCTCCTGACCTCGTGATCTGCTCCCCTCGGCCTCCCAAAGTGCTGGGATTACAGGTGTGAGCCACCATGCCCGGCCGAAGCCCCACTCTCTTTCTTCTCTGTGGTCTGGATTTCTATCGTTCTGTCTTTCAGCTCACAGATTTCCTTCCCTGTCCTCTTATTTTTCTATTAAGCCCATCCACTGAGCTTTATATTTTGGCTACTGCAGTTCTTAGTTCTACAATTTCCAATTTTCATTTAGTTCTTTTATGTTGTCCTTCTCTTTGCTGACAGTTTGTTTCACTTGTTTCAAGTGTGTTCACAATTTCTCATTGAAGCATGTTTACTGTGTCTGCTGTAAAATATTTGTTAGATAATTTTAACGTCATCATCTTAGTGCAGGCATGTATTATTATTGTTCATTCAGTTTGAGACCTTTCTAATTCTTGGTATGATGAATGATTTTCACTTGAAACCTGGACATTTTTGCCTTACATTATGAGAATCTGGATCTTATTCAACCTTTCTGTTTTGGCTGGCATTTTCTGATGTTGCGCTGGCAGGAGAAGGGGTATGCCATTCATTACTGCCAACTGGAAGTAGAAGTCTAGGTTTCTTTTTTCTTTTCTTTTTTTTTTTTTTTGAGATGGAGTCTCTCTGTCACCTAGGCTGGAGTGCAGTGGCGCGATCTTGACTCACTGCAACCTCCGCCTCCTGGGTTCAAGTGATTCTCCTGCCTCAGCTTCCAAGTAGCTGGGACTACAGGCATGCACCACCACGCCTGGCTAATTTTTTGTACTTTTAGTAGAGATGGGGTTTCACCGTGTTAGCCAGGATGGTCTCGATCTCCTGACCTTGTGATCTGCCTGCCTTGACCTCCCAAAGTGCTGGGATCACAGGCATGAGCCACCGTGCCTAGCCTTTTTTTTTGAGACAGAGTCTTGCTCTGTCACCCAGGCTGGAGTACAGTGGTGCCATCTCGGCTCACTGCAACCTCAGCCTCCCAGGTTCAAGCAATTCTCCTGCCTCAGCTTCCCAAGTAGATGGGATTACAGGCATGCGCCACCACACCTGGCTAATTTCCATATTTTTAGTAAAGACAAGGTTTCACCATCTTGGCCAGGCTGGTCTCAAACTCCTGACCCCAAGTGATCTGCCCACCTCGGCCTCCCAAAGTGCTGGGATTACAGGCATGAGCCTATGTCTGGTCAACGTCAAGATTTTTTACTTGGCTGATGTTGACACCCTATGGGAGGACACTCCCTGTGACTGACAGGTGTGGGTCCAAGATCCCTATATGGTCTCTGCTGACACTATGGTGGGGATGCCTAAGTCCTGGTTCTCTACTTGGCCTTCTTGACACCCCCGGGGGCGGTGTGGGATGCCTTGTTACAGCCTGTATTGGCGGAAGTCTGGGCTTCCCGCTCCATCTTTGCAGGCGTGGATAGGCGTGGCCGCACAATATCCTCTGTAGCATCTGGCTGGAGTAAAGCAGGTGTTGTCTACAAGTCTTCTGTCTTACTAGGCCATTCCTTTCCTGGTCCACTGACTAGAGAGGACAGGCTTTGGTTGGGGCAATTTGTGTCTGCCCTTACTGGCATTTCAGGTTTGCCAGCTTCTCCAGCACTAAGTGTGGGATATATAAGGTGAGAAGAAAACCTGGGAACTCACCTCACCTCCTCCACCTCCACCTCCACCTCCATCTCCACCTCCACCTCTATGCTGTTACTGTTTCTGCCTCTTGTTAACAAGTTTCTAACACAAGGTGTAGTGGGGACAACAACTAATTTCCCAGTTCATGTCACTGTACCTAGAGGGGACACAGGAGCTATCAGAAAGGAGACCAGGGTGCTTCTGTGTGGCCCCGAAGTTAAAACAGCAGCAGGCCTCAGCCATGAAGGGTCCAACAGTTATCTCTTCAGTGGGCTGGGCCAAAATTACAAGGGGAATTGGATGCGTTGGAGCAGTTAAAAGAAACAGAGATTTCCTTCATTGCTTTCAATCATTCCCAAAGAGACCGCAGGTCCTGTAAGTCCTAGGTGTGAAATCAGTCAGTGGAGTCAGTTCTGACAGCAGCAGTGTGGACACTGCTACAGAGCCTCCACGAGACAGAGAAATGGCGCCATGTTTCTTTACAATGTCACTGCTCTACAAATGACACGGTCAGTAGGTCAGAGACCTTGTTAACTTTCTGCCTTACCCTGGCCTGAAATTCCGTTCTTGTCCACCTCCAAACAGCATAGGGTAGAGAGGGGTAAATTCACCAAGTCCTCGTACATAAAGTGCGCCAATCCTGGGACCATAAAACTGGAAGGAAAAGTTGGTCATTTATTCAACAAGAACTTTCCAAGGACCTACTCTGTAGACACGCTAAGTGCCTAGAGGCACACAGGAGAAATGCTCTGCGATGCACAGTGCTTCCTTGGGGCGCCTCTGAGGGTCACCCCTTTTGACATGCAGAGTCACAAAAGCCTTCTGGGCAGGGTGGAACCCCAACCTAGGAGGCAGCGCAGGTGCTAGACTCTCGTGCCCAGCTCTGTGGCAGGCAGCTCTCCCTTGCACATCATGTGATAGAATTTGTACAAGGATCTCAAATCATATGGATCACGGTTTAAAAAAAAAAAGAGAAAGAGAATGCATAAATAGAGAGGAGTTGGAACCAGCAGTTGGCCGCGGCCTTTCCTGCAAATGATTCCACGTTTCCAACTGACACAATGCAGAACTCTGGAGTGCCAAAGTGTCAGGCCACCACAGATACTCCTTTGGAAACCAGCTGAGTACTGTGCTTCAAAATTAAGTACTAAAAATATCTCAGGCCCTGGTAAGCTGTCAGAAAGATGTGCAAAATTTTCAGAAGGGTCTTCACTGTTAACTCTTTCCCCCATACTCCCACCTTAAAGATAGCTGGTAAGTTTTTGTTGAGGAGCCGCATCTGAAATCACATTAGAGAAAGCAACAATTTCCTGTCCCCACATCTTCTACCCCACGCCCTCTGCATATGCTCTGTCCGCTGCAGACACTTGCCGCCTGGCTTGCCTTACTTCCCTGAGATCTCGACGTCTCCTCCCCTAGCTTGGTCCACCGCCCCACCCTGCCCTATGTGGGTTGGGCACCCCCATCATCCCTGCCATGGCATTCAACTTGGCCTGCTGGCCATGTGGGGCTCCTCTCTTAAAGTTCCTGAGGACAGGGATCCCATGTTGCTCCTCGCAGTGCCCCCAAGGCCTGGCTCACAGTGGGCAGTGAGGCTTACGGACCGAGCAGTGAACAGCCACCTGCGCAGCAGACTCTGCCCACAGAGGGAGGAGGCCTCTGCAGACATACCTTGTGGCCCACGATGGTAAGGAAGTCCACGCCCAGGTCCTCCACATCCACGCGCTGCTTCCCCAAGGCCTGTGCAGCATCTGTGTGCATGAGGATGGGAGGCAGCCCAGCTGCCACCCGTTCCTGGTTCAGGGCTTTAATGCGCTGACTGATTTCAGGAACAGGCTGACGGGGAAAGGAAACAGTTGAGTATGTTGCTCCGATTTGATGAAAACTGAATGACAGAAATCAGGAGTAGTGAGCACAGGCCAAATGTTATCAAAGTGAACAGAGAAATGGGAGAAGCCAGAGCTGGGAAACCTGAAACGCCATGAGTCTAAGCCGCTGTTCTTCCCCATGAGCTCTCCTTAAAGAGAAACAAAGGCTGACTCACCATGACAACGCCGGTCTCATTGTTGGCCAGCATGATGGTCACAAGGCGTGTGGTCGGGCGGACAGCTGCGAGGATGTCATCCACCTCTGCCTGCCCGCTCACCTTGGACACAGGGACAAAGGTGACCGCTGAGAAACAAACATGGGTACCGAACTAAGTTGCACAAATTGATTCCTCTCAAAATTGTATTCCAACAGACCTTAACAAAACAGTTTTCTACAATTATAAAAGTAAATTGTTGTCCAAGTTCAGAAGACTATAAAGAAGAATATAAGCCGCCCATCATCATTCGCCCAGCGTCACTGTCGGGTGCTTCAATGTGAACGCGTCTTTAACGTGGCTGCAGTGGGTGGATCTGTGTCGTGGAACCTATGTGCCTTTCTGCTTCTACAGGGACCGAAGGGGAAGTGGCAACAGGGACACAGGCTCTTGCTTTAGGGGAGGGTCCTAGCACACAGCACTTCACTGCCATGTGCTCGGCACCCAGCCAGTGCTGGTGAAGCCACTCCTACGCGCCAGGCGTTGCCCCAGGCACTGACAGTCTCACTACTGCGGATGGAAAATGAGCAGAGGAGACGACCTTATTTAGCTTTAGTCCTTTGAGTTTAAAATGGTGAAAAACAAATGTATCCACTGCCCGCTCAGGGTCCTACTGAAATGAAAGAGAAAACAGCCACTTCTCCAAATAAGAATCAAATCAAAACACCAACAAAGGGTATCTGGCCGGGCACAGTGGCTCACTTTGGGAGGCCGAGGTGAGCGGACTGCTTGAGCCCAGGGGTTCAAGACCAGCCTGGGCAACATAGGGTAATCATGCCACTGCACTCCAGCCTGGGTGACACAGTAACGCACTGTCTCAAATAAAAGGGGGAGCGGTGAGTTATGTGGACTAGGAATTTTGAGGAGTCCCTAAAATGTAGCAAGATGATGGCATTAAATTAACAGTGAAGAGAATACTTAAAGGCAAATCTGAAAGGATCCAGTGGCCATGCAAGTTCAGGTTGGACAGCGGGAAGCGCAGGGCAGGGGCCAGCTACCGAGGCCGGCAGAGGACAGTGTCCCAATGTCCGAGCACTCCCTGCTCCTGTACACCAAGTCAGCAGCAGAGGCACTGACCTCAGACTGAGACAGCGCCACACGCCCAGAGGGGAACAACAGGCACAAGGCAGGCTCCTTGTCTGGGGGAACGATCTAGAAAATGGGGAAGAGCTTGAGGCATCTGCTAGGGGACTCAGAGGAGCAAAGCAAAAGCAGCTCTGTCCAGGGAAGTCACAGAGAAAAGTGGGCGGGGTCGCTGCCACTACCTTATGCAGCGCCCACTGTGGGCCCTCCCTTCCTGGGAGACACCTCCTGGGGAAACGCATTGAGAGTTGCAGATGAGCCCTCCCTAGCCCCTACATCAAACAACGAAATGCTTCCTCCATCCACAGGAACAATCCAGGATCCCCAAGTCCAAGGAAAAACCAGGATGAACAGGTAAATGACTGATTCTAGATCACACAGAAGCAATCCCAGGAACAGGAAAACTGAAATAATTTTAACTGGTATCTTCAGTGTGTGGAAAAGCAGGAAAAAAGGCAAGCGATAAAAACTGCCTGCAACTGTACTTAAAGAGATAAAGTATGATGACAGTGGCTCATTACACAGAGAGTCCTCAAGATAACCAAGAGAGAAATTATGAAAAAGAACCAAAAGGAAATCGTGGAGTTGGAAAGTACAACCGATATGAAAAGTTCACTGGAGGGGCTCAAGAGTTTGTTGGAACTGGCAGAAAATACATTTACTCAACATGAAGGTAGATTTACAGATTATGAAATCCAAATATAAGAGAGGAAAAACATGAGAAAGATAAACAGAGCCTCAGAGAAATGTGGGACACCATAAGGCACCAAATATGGAAAACAGGAGTAGCAGAAGGGCAGGAGCAAGAGAAAGGGGCAGAAAATGTCTCTGAAAAATAACGGCTGAAAATGTCTCAAATATGATGGAAAACATTAATCTACATACCCAAGAGCTAAATGAATTCCAGGTAGGATAAAACACAAAGACATGCACTCCCAGACACATGATAATAAAAATGTTGAAAGCCAAAGACAGAGAAAGTATCTTGAAATCCGCACAAGAGATTCTGTCTCAAAAAAATAAAGGGAAAAAAGGGCAGTGTAACTGTATATTGCTTCTCTCAACTGATTTAAAAGCAACTGTATAAAGTGACATGTATATAATTATTTTGTTAGGGCTATAACACAGTATTTCATGAGAACAGCACAAAGGAGGTAGGAGACAGCAGAATTGTCTATTAAGGAAAAGACACCAGATGATAATTCAGATCCATGGAACAAATGAAGATAATGTGAAAAGGCAACTAAGAAGGTTACTCGAACAAAATCTATAAACATACACTTGTTCTTTCTTCCCTTAGCTTCCTTAAAAGACATTAAATTGGCCACGTGCAGTGGCTCATGCCTGTAAGCACTTTGGGAGGCCAAGGCAGGAGGATCACTTGAACCCAGGAGTTCAAGACCAGTCTGGGCAACGTCAGGACACTTTATCTGCACAAAAAATAAAAAATCAGCTGGGTGTGATGGGATATGCCTGTAGTCCCAGCTACCAGGGCAGCTGAGGTGGAAGGATCACTTGAGCCTGGGAAGTTGAGGCTGTAGTGAGTTGTGATCGTGACACCAAACTCCAGCCTGGGTGACAGGGTGGAATCTTGTCGAAAAGAAAAGAGAGGAAAGAGGGGAGGGGAGGGGAGGGGAGGGGAGGGAAAAGGCAGGAAATTAACTAAAATGATATTTGTGGCTGGGTGCAGTGGCTCATGCCTGTAATCCCAGCATCTTGGGAGGCCAAGGTGGGCAGATCACTTTAGGCCAGGAGTTCAAGATCAGCCTGTCCAACCTGGAAAAACCCTGTTTCTACTAAAAATACAAAAATTAGATGGACCTGATTGTACATGCCTGTAATCTCAGCTGCTTGGGAGGCTGAGGCATGAGAATCACTTGAACCTGGGAGGTGGAGGTTGCAGTGAGCCAAGATTGCACCACTGCACTCCAGCTTGGGTGACAGACCAAGACTGTCTCAAAAAAAAAAAAGATATTTGTAACAATGCACTGTTGAGTTTGTAACATATATAGATGTAACACCGGTAACAATAAAAGCACAAAAAAGAAGAAGGAACAGAACTGTATAGGAGTAACATTTCTACGTCTTTCTGGAATTAAGTTAGTATAAATCTGAAGTAAATACTGATAAGTTTATACGTATATAGTAAGCCCTTGATAACTACTAAGGAAATAATTTAAAAAGTGAAAAAAGCACTAATGAATTTCGATGTTAAACTAGAAAATATTGGTTAATGCAAAAGAAAACAGTAAAGGGGGAAAAGAAAACAAAAAATATATGAGACATCTAGAAAACAAAAAGTAAAAATATAGGTGGTAATCCAACTATGTCAATAGTAACATTACGTGTGAATGATTAAACAATCTAATATAAAGGCAGAGGTTGTCAGACTAGATTTAAAAAGAACTGGCCAGGTGCGGTGGCTCGCGCCTATAATCCCAGCACTTAGGGAGGCCAAGGCTGATGGATCACCTGAGATCAGTTCAAGGTCTGCCTGGCCAACATGGTGAAACCCCGTCTCTACCAAAAATACAAAAATTAGCCAGCCATGATGGTGGGTGCCTGTAGTCCCAGCTACTCGGGAGGCTGAGGCAGGAGAATGGCTTGAACCCAGGAGGCGGAGCTTGCAGTGAGCTGAGATCATGCCACTGCACTCTACAGCCTGGGCGACAGAGTGAGACTCTGTAAAAAACAAAACAAAACAAAAGAAGAAAAGAATCTACAGGAGACCCATGTGTCCTGCTCAGGGCTCTTGGGGTGGGCCTAGTTAACCTTCCCCAAAGGTGACTTTTCCCTTTTCGTATTATTCACATCAAAGATAAGTCTTAGATACTGTGTGATGTTCAAGCAGTTTATTCTGGCAGCGCTCTTACAAGATAGCTAGCAGGAGCAGGCAGGTGGCAACGGTCAGATACATTCAGGTATCATGACTGCCTGACCCGGAGGGTCTCTGTCCGGGGAACATTCTCAGAGTTTCAGGGATTCTTCCCCGTTCTTATCTTGTATTTAGTCCAGGTCAGTTACCAGGTTTCTCTTCCGTAAGGGAGTTAAGCTATTTTGGTAAGGGTAAGCTTTGTATTTATGGTTTATGAGAGTTCCATCTATGCTGAGGTGGTCTTACCTCCTGGAAATTCCCCAGCCAGGGCTGGAAATCCCTAGGCCATGTTGCGTCATACTGCTAATTGACACGCAGTGTCAGCCCTGCAAGACGTTTGCATGGGCCTATGGCTATCATTAATCTTAAAGCCACAATATGTCTCTTACACTGTATTACAACATGTCAGATTTAAAGACATATACGGATTAAAAGTAAAAGGATGGAAAAAGATATTTATGCTAGCAGCAACCATAAGACAGTTGGAATGACTATACTTACATAAAATAAAAGGGACTTAAAAAAAGTTACTAGAGATAAAGATGGACATTTTATAATGATAAAAGAACCAGTTCATCCATAATACATAACAAATATAAATGTATACGCACCTAACAATAGAGCACCAAAATACATGAAGCAAAAGCTGACAGGTTTGCAGGGAGAAACTGATTAATAGTGTGATCAACTATTAATCAGACCACCAATTAATAATAGCAGGATCATTCAAAATCACATTTTCAATAATGGATACAACAACTAGCCAGAATTTTAACAAGGGAACAGGGAACAGAAGACTTGAATAACACTATAAATTAAGTAGACCTAATAGACATCTACAAGACACTCCACCCAACAACAGCAGAACATACATTATCCTTCAGTGCACTTGACATATACTCTCGGATAGACTATATGGCTAGGCTACAAAATAAAAAAAAATAAAGAATTTAAATCAAAGTATTTTCTAGCTCTTAAGGAAGAAAATTAGAAATCACTAGCAGAAAAAAAATCTTAGAAATTAAAAAAACATATGGAAATTAAACAATACACTCTTAAATATCTAATGGGTCATAGAAAAAAATCACAAGGGACACTAGAAAATATTTTCTGAGATGAATGAAGATGAAG